TGGGGGAAGATCTCTATTATCCTACCAACTTAAAAGACTCCTGAGCTTCCTAGCTGCTACATCTTCTATAACATTCCAAGCACTCAAAATTCTTTTTCATGGAAACAATGCACTAGCAACAATGTATTATACGAAAAGTTAGACAGGGCAATTTGTAACTACTCTTTTCTCCGCAATTTCCCAAAAGCCAACTCCGCTTTGAAGCTTTCACAGTTTCGGACCATGTGCCATTAATTTATGATTCTCATTATAATGACCATTTAACCCTTCATTGTCTCTTTCGTTTTCAAAATCATTGGACACTTGAAAAAGAGTCTCATGATATAGTTAAAAAGAGTTGACCCCATCCGATACAAGGATCTAGGTTTTGTACAATTCAACAAAACTTAATTCGCATTAAACACGAACTTAAAACTTGGGCTCGGAAAAGATATGGAAACAATAATAATAAATTATCACTTAATGCTGAAAAAATTATTAACCTTGAGAATTCATTGCGTGCTCAACCTTTTAATCCTATTCTAGTTAGCCATCTTAATCGCATGATTCGTTAAATAGAAAAGCTTCTTTTGTTTGGTCAAAATCAATGTGGAAAGTTTTCTCGTAAAAATTGGCTATCTCAAGGTGACAGAAACACTCGTTTCTTCCACAATAAGATGAGAAAAAGAATAGCTTCTACTGCAATTTATAGATTGAAATCTCCGACTAATGATTAGGTGAAATCTCGTGAAGAGATTCATAAGTTGTTACTTGACTCTTTTCAATGTAGATTTAAGTCCGAGGTTTCAAATAATAGACATATCAACCTCTCTTTTATTGATCCTATTATCTCAAAGGATGATTGTGATAACCTCTTAGCTCCTGTATCCAATGATGGAATAAAAACAATATCTTCGACATAAATCCCACTAAAGCTCCCGGATTAGACGGCTTTGGGGCTAAGTTTTTTCAATCTTATTGGCCAGTGATTGAAAAGGAAATTACCATCGCCATTAAGAGCTTTTTCTCTCATGGGTGCCTACCGCCGTCTCTAAACCATATCATCATTACCTTAATACCAAAAACAGAAATCCCTGAAACCCCAAATCATTTTCGACCAACTAGTCTGGTTAATACAGTTTTTAAGGCTATCTAAAAAATCATAGTTGCTTGTTTGTGCCCCATCCTTCAAAGAACTGTAAGCCCCCTGCAAAATGCTTTTACACCTGAGCGCTCTATTTATGATAATATCCTTATAGTTCAAGAAATCTTAAATACTTTCCATAAATCGAAAAATAAAACAGGTTGGTGTGCTCTAAAGTTAAATATGGAGAAAGCATATGACAGGATTGAATGGGACTTTTTATGGGAAGCCCTTTTAGCCTTTGGCTTTCCCTCCAAGTGGATCCACTAGATCCGCGAGTGCGTGACCAAAGTTTCTTACTCACTTAAGATAAACGGTGAGTCTACCGAATGGTTTAAGCCCACAAGAGGTTTAAGACAAGGTGACCCCTTGTCACCTTATCTTTTTATATTGTGCATGGAGGTTCTTATAAGAAAATTATCTCTAAAAAGTAAGAATTGCAGGTCTGGAATAAGCTTTAAAATTACACCTCGATCTTTCAATATCCCTTGCCTTCTTTTTGCAAATGATAGTCTTGTCCTCTGTAAAGCCACTTCTTCTGCCTACAATAACCTAAAAAGGATACTTGATGAATTTTGTAGTATGTCAGGGCAACTTGTTAACTTTCACAAGTCCTCAATTATTTTTTCCTGACAAATTGAAAATAGGCGTCATCCAAGCCTTGCAACCCAATTTAACATGACACAGAATTCATCGCTCGGACGTTACTTGGGAGTCTTTTTTAGCTCTTATTATCCATCAACCAAAAGATTCTCATATATGGAAATCAGTGCTGGCCCACAAGAAATTTTACGTAAAGGGATTCGGTGGAAGATTGGTAATGGTTCTCACATTTATTTTTGGATAGACAATTGGGCTACCACTAAAAGCCTGCTAGAAACTCTCAACTTACAAGGACACCAATTGGATATTGACCTAAAAGTTGCAGACTTCATTTTGCCAAAAAATTAGTGGGACAAACCTAAACTCACTTCCCTATTGCCAAAACATATTGTAGCACACATCATGGGCATTCCTCTACCCAGTTTAAAAATGACAAATACGCAAGTATGGGGCCCTACCCCCTCTGGAAACTTCTCAGTGATGTCGGCCACTTGGATAGCACACAATCTCGAACTTGACATGCCTAAATGGCCCCACCGTTGGATTTAGAAGCTCGATATCCCTCCTAAGCTTCAAATCATCCTATGGCAATTGATGCATGGTAGCATTGGAGTTAGAGATATATTTTACAAAAGAAAAATTATTCCTTTTAGCAACTGTAGCCTTTGTACTTTAAACTCAGAGACAATCGAACACTTGTTTCTCGGTTGTGAAAAAACTAAGGAAATTTGGAAACATCCTTTAACCAAGAGTTAGTTAAGCAGTTCTCTTACACATGGAGGCTTGCTACCCACCCTAAACAACCTCAGAAAGAACAACTCCACACTTAAAAAGTTTATCTTCTTATTATGGAGCATATGGAAAGAACAAAATTCTATTATTTTTCGAAATGAAACATTAGATATGCCTCGAACTTTCCACAGAGCGTAATTTGCGTTCAACGAGTGCCAATGTCGCACTCTCACAGATACCTTTTTAAGCGGATCACCTATGCAGAGATCCCAAACCCATACCCATACCCACCACCAACCCATCCATTCCATTCCGCGTCAACAGGTTTCTTGGGAAACACCCCCCTTAAACTCTTTCAAGCTCAACTTCGACGGTTCACTAAAAAACAACTCAGCAGCAGTAGGTGTCATCATTAGAGACATCACCGATTCCCTTGTTGCAGCTCACACCTTCAACCTTGGCAACACCACTGTTTTTGTTGCAGAAGCTACAGCTCTCCGAAAAGGCATCCTTCTCGCTCTTCAACACGGGATTCAACATTTAGTCATCGAAGGAGATAATCTCCTAGTAATCAACACAGTCAAAGAAGTTTGGTTCGTTCCATGGCAAATCGATTACATCATCGCAGACATCCTCAATCTTCTTTAACGGTTTCAACAATGGGATATTAACCATGTTTACAGAGAAGCAAACAGAGCAGCAAATTGGATCGCAAATGTAGGTCATCTTATTAGTGATAATATGGACATTACACTTTGTATTTCCTCATCTTTGTACCCTATTATTTCCTCTGATGCATTAAGAATTCCCCTTTTGAGGAGAGGTTCCTAATGTTTTCTTTTTTCTTACCCTATAAAAAAAATAAAAATAAAAGCAATACTCCATTGCTCCATATCACTCAAAAGTCAAGACTCATATCACGTACAAATGTGTACAAGGCACAAGGCACAAGGCACAAGTTAAACCAAACAAGCTTATTAATAATTTAATATATAGTAAATTCAAGGTTCTTATATAGATAATGTGATTGAAAGACCTAGGTTAAACCTAGATCTAATTACAAATGTTCAAACTTCAAAGTAACACGTTGGAACATCATTTAGTCATACTGAGTACACCCTTTATTCCTTATTTTTTGCCCCATTTGACTTTTCAGTTTTTACGGTCTCCAAAACGCATCTTTAAAAGTATATATCTCCTTTTCTATATACGTAAAAATTATAAAACTTGATATTAATAAAATTATACATTGAGAAGTTTCTAACAAGATCCCATATGAATATATTATCACTTACAGAATAATGAGAATTCATGGTCAAAATTTATAAAATTTGACCCATTTATTTGCAATAGGGCAAAAAAAAAAGAGACGGAGGTAGTAGTTAACTTCTATATTACATACTTTTGTGTAATTGTGAATGAGCTAAATAGATAGCTCAACACGGTGAGCGAGATTATTTTTTTAAAAAAACTAACAATATTCCATACATAACAATTTAATCATACTTACATAACAATTTACTCACACATAGGGTTTACAATTTTAAGGGTATATGATACACATGTTCACCACCCTCCCCCCCTTACATAAATGAGAAAGACCTTAATGAACCAATATCTCTTACATGAGTATCCAATTTAGCTCTATGATGGGTTATATTATATACTCCCTGGTATACTAAAAGGTTCTTAACTTTATTTTTTTTTATTATTATTATTAAAAGTTAGATGTGAAGGATATTTGTGAATTACCCTTTATTTTATTATCAATAGCTCTTGATCTCGTGCCAAACAGTCTACTGAAATATATTTTGATCAAATAATTTAACTTTAAACATTTTGTAATCAATTTTATGAATTTTTTTTGGTACTTTATTAATTTTAAAGTTTGTATTTTTCTTAAATTAATTGTTGATTTTCATTTCTAATAATTTTACTAGTTTTTCCATATCTGAATAAGAGTTTAACGACTGGATCATCTTTTTATGAAGCTACACTGTAATATACTTTTTCTGTTCTTTTTTACTTGACCTATTTCTTTTATCACACTTGCTAATGCAAAATTTTAACAATCGATAATTTTAATTTTCCATAAGTAAAAATTATAAAAGTTATACATTATGATAATACTTATTAAGACGAATTCAAAAAGATCTCATATGAATATGTTTTTCCTTACATACTATTCACAAAAGGATGGTCAAAGGAGGGATGGTGAATAATTTAAAAGTCAAAGCAGGTCATACCAAATTACCAATTGTTATGCATGAATATGTTTTTCTTTACATATTTTATTCACAAAAAGACGTTTTTTTTTTTTTTTTTTTTTTTTTTTTTTTGATGCAAAGCAAAGCACATCATATTAATACTCCATCAAAACTGCAATGTCTTTACAGATGGACTCATGTATCTCCACTAGATACTCTTCAAGCCATATACGACATTCATTAAAACTACAACTTAAATTGGCTAGGCTATGCGCAACACCATTTCCCGACCTCTTGACAAAAGAGAAAGACAAGAGCTAACATTCTGCTGTAATTCAAAGGATGTATTTCACCATGTTTCCAAAGGCTGTTGGAGGGGTGATACCCTTCTTCATATGATGAAATAATTTTAAGTTGTCCGTCTCAAAAACAAGCTTGCTGTAACCTGCTTCTCTAGCAAATAAAGCACTTTTCCGCACTGCCATAGCTTCCCCAACATCCACCTCAAAAGCCCCTTCTATCACCAAGCAACACGCCATCACCACATCACCAGTAGCATCCCTCAAAACCCTTTTCAGACCAGCCTTCTGCTGCCCAAAAATAGCTGCATCTGTATTCAGCTTATAAGTACCAGTCAACGAAGCTTTCTAAATTGAACCGAGGAGGCCCCCATTTCTCATGATGAGAAACTGCTTATGTTTCTCATGGGGGCACTACCGACATTTCACCTAATATAAGTCATTTTCATGGGGGCATTACCAACATTTCTGTAAGTGTAAAACATCTATTTATTTACAGAAATTCCATTGTGAGAAACAATTATGTTTCTCACAGTGAGAAACATAGATTTTCCCAAATTGAACCTGGGGGCTGTACAAGCTGATGGATTGCGATCTTCTCCAGAGCGTGTTCATACTCCCCCACAAGGCTGACAGCCTTATGAATGACATCAGGATCTGGTTTTCTTTTTCCTTCAAACACCCAACTATTTCGCCTCAACCAAACACCCCATGCCAAGCACCAGAATGTATCCCACCATTTGGAGTTTGTGACTTTTTCCTTTATCATCGTACACCACTCCTTAAAGTTGTTCTGCTCTTCAAATTGTGTGTCAAGGTGAAGGACAGAAAATTTCCCAATTGAAGTCACAAATGGACACCAGATATGCTCAAGACTTTCCTCCTCCTCACCACACATTGGACATATATTATCAGTGCTCATTCCCCTTGCCACCAGGTTACATCTCACCGGGATCCCATTCTTAACACACCTCCACGCAAAGAGCTTCACTTAAGGTGGAATACAGGCATGCAAATTGCTTTCTAATTGAAAGGTGTGCATATTACAAAGGAAGAAGCTTTCCCTTTTTCCTCTTCAATTAATACATTATACGCATTCTAACATTATATGAGCCATCCTTCAAATAATGCCATGTCCATCCATCATCATCATCAAACATTGGGGTCGGTATACTACATATTTCCAGCACCTCATGCTGTGTGAACAGCTTCCTAAGAGTTTCAACACACCATTTTTTGTCCTCCCATAGCTCGTACACATATTCTGGAACATTTTCTCCAATCCCCTTACTCGAGTATATGCGAAAATCAGGCAATCTAGGTACCCAAGGGTCATTCCAGATATTTATCGAACTCCCCCTCCCCACCATCTTTCTCGCACCTTTTTCGATCACATCTCGCACACTTAAAATCGCCCTCCAAGTAAAACTCATATTCGACAGGGGTTTTGCCTCAAAATAATTCGAGTGAGGGAAGTACTTGGCCTTTAAAACACGAGTCATGAGGGAGTGCTCATTCGTCACAATTCTCCAAGCTTGCTTTGCTAGCATAGCCTTATTAAACACCTGCATATTACGGAACCCCAAACCACCCTGATTTTTTGCCCAGCACATCTTATTCCAAGCCACCCAACAAATCCTCTCTTCTCTTACTCTTTTGGCCCGAAAAGAAATTTCTACACATTTTTTCCACCACATTTAGGATACTAACGGGGATAGAAAAACATTGCATTGCACAAGTCAGAATAGCTTGGGCCACCGACTTGATAAGAATTTCACGACCTACTTGTGACAAAAAATTTTCCTTCCAACCCTTAAGCTTCTTCCAGACCCGAACCTAAATTTTTTAACCTCCAATGTAAGTTGGAGGTCCCAAATACTTCTCATGTCCTTCGACAGCCTTAAAAGATAACTTCATCTGAAGCCTATTTTTCTTTTCACAATCGATATTTCGGCTAAAAGACACCTCCGATTTCTCCATATTCAGTTTCTTACCCGACGCCATCTCATAAGTTGAAAGGATTTCAAGAACCTTTTCCGTTTCATCCTCATTTGCCCGAACAAAAAGAAGACTATTATCCGCAAAGAATAGATGTGAAATTGGCTCAACATGTCTCCCAATTTTGATACCATGAATGAGTGTTTCCTTATCTGCATCACGAAGGAGAGCTAATAATCCCTCAGCACACATAATAAAGAGGAACATGGATAGAGGATCTCCCTGCCAAAGCCCCCTGGTTGGCCAGAATTCCCGAGATGGTTGTCCATTCACCAACACATCAAAAGAGGTCGATGACACACAATTAATAATATTTCACAATAGTCTCTGGGAAGCCAAATTTTTTCGTCATTTTTTCCAGAAACTCCCATTCTACTTTGTCATATGCCTTGCTCATGTCAAGCCTCAAACCCAAAAACCTGTTTGACCAGTTTTCTTTTTCCGCAGATAATGAAAGCATTCATAAGCAACCAAGATGTCGTCTATGATTAATCTATCCGGAACAAAGCCGTTCTGAAACTCACTAACAATAGTAGGAAGTACTTTTTTAAGTCTGTTTGCTAGCACTTTTGAGACTATTTTATACAAAACGTTACATAGACTAATAGATCTATAATCAACAAAAGACTCACTCTTTTATTTTCGGAATTAAAACCATATGAGTCTAATTAATAGCACCTACATCTCCTACATTATTCAAAATATTCAACGTATGATTAATCACATCATTTCCAACTATATACCAAAATTTTTGAAAAAAATTTGCAGACATACCATCGGGTCCGAGTGCTTTAGTGGGATGCATTTGAAAAAGCGCTTCACGGACTTCATCACCAGTAAAAGGGGCTGCTAATTCAGAAAATTGCATTTCTGAAATCTTCCTATCCACCTTGTCAATGACAATTTCAGCTTCTAATTGACCACCAGATGAAAACAGGTCATCAAAGTGCTTCACCATCACCTCTGAAATCTGCTCTTCCTCCTTGTAAACATTTCTGGCAACATCTTTAATTTCCCGAATATGGTTTCGAGCCTTTCTTTGACTAGCTTTTTGATGGAAGAAAGAAGTATTCTAATCCCCATGTTGAAGCCATTCTTGCCTTCTACGTTGCCTCCAATACAAATCCTCTCTATTCTCCAACTCATCCATCCTATCATACATCCAGTGCTCTCATCTGCGCTATTATTTCATCGGTTTGATGCTCACTCATCAACAACTCCATTCGAGCTCTACAACATCTCTCTTATAAAATCACCAAATTTGTTACGACTCCAAGCACTCAAATTAATAGAGGTGTGTGCAATTTTTGAGCATAAGTCGCCACCCCCATTCCACGCATTCACAACGATATCCCCACAGGTTTCATCTCTAAGCCATATTTCAAGAATAACAACATTTTTTAGCGCATTAACCGCCGAGGTACTCCCCAAACCTTTACAATTCCAACAAAAAGACGTAAATCATTGGTCACCGAGAGCCTCCACGGAGTGGGGTCCGCCACATTCAAGTTGAGAGCAGCAACTTTACGTTTTTTTTATTGTGATCTTCTTAACTTTCCTCATCTACCATCATCTCACCTTCATGACTATCCTCCTCCCTTGAAAGCCTTTTACTCCCTGCTAATTGGTTTTCCCCTTCTCTTATATTACTCTCTCCTCTCAAAATCTTCACTCTCCTTAGCTTTCTGTCAAGTGCATCATTGTGATTCACCTCCCTCATATTTTCATCAAACCCCCCCCCCCTCCTCCACAGCAAACACTTCTTTTTCCTCCCCCCAATTCCTTCCTCACTTTAACTCTCTTCCTTGGTGAAGCACGAAGCCACGGTCCGTATTGATAAACCGTCTTCGCCTCACCACACTCTTCTTTCTCCTTGTGTTGGCATTCCTTCTCCGTATGGTCAAGCCTCCCACAAAAGAAGCAAAAGTCTGCCAGTATTGAGATTGATTTCGACCAGTATCAAGGAACAGGCCTCTACATAAAGGCTTGTTTATATCCACTTGAATTTTAATTATTATATGGTTTTACAGTCCACATCTTTCCCACCATAGTGATATGCAATTTTGCTTTTGCATCATCGCTAACAATTTCAACATAATCTCCTCCTAAAACTACTCTTTCATCCTCTGTCAACCTAAACTTCTCCCATTCTTTCAGTGATTCGTCTCCCATCGTTATCAGGGATACACTCAATCAAACAGGAGAATTAATTTGGTGAGAATCGCAAGAAAATTGATGAAAAATGGCACTGACTCACGAACCCTAGCACGGGACTCACTCACGCTAGAGATGGACTCTCAGTTTTTATAGTTGCCCACAAAAAGATGGATAAAAGAGGGGTGGTGAATAATCTAAAAGTCAAAGCGGGTCATACCAAATTACCAACTATTATGCTTTCAAAAAAAAAAAATCGTAATATTGGGTGGGACAAGTTTTAAATTTGCTGGTTATGGATCAATTTCTTTGGGTTGGTATCGGCATTCACAAACCATTCATTTATTTGGAAAAACAAAAGAGTGGTTAATCCAAGTCCACGAATTATTTTTATTTATTTTTTTGGTGAATAATTCCACGAATACAACGTCTTTGAATTCGTAAGATAGTTAAGAAGTCCACGAATATACGTCTTTGATCATCATGCATTACCATCAACTCCAAATAATCTCTCAAAACTCAAACCCCCAACAAACAAATTCTTATGGCAAAGGCAGAAATTCAAGTAGATTGGTCAGAAATCCCAGATGATATCCTCCTTAAAATCGCGCAAACTCTCACAATCTACTCCGATTACATCCGCCTTCGAGCGGTTTGTTCCAAATGGCGAATCTCTCTTCCTATAGCCCCACCTCATACTCTCCCATGTCAACTCCCATGGCTTCTTCTTCCGCCGCCTACTACCTCTATCACCCCTTATACTAACTTCACTGTCACTGATACTGACCCTCGTCGTACTTTCTACAACTTCCTTACTAATAAGCTCCACACATTATCTCTTCCTGAGTCATCCTACCCTCGTCGAATCCTTGGTTCGTGCCATGGAAATCTTATACTCACCACTGGTACCCCTGAAGTGTTCTGCCTTAATCCTCTTAGCAAATCTAAAGTTTTCCTACCACCTCTTTCGGCTCTTCCTGGTGTCGTCTCCTTCAGGTTTTCAAATGTTGGTAGAGAATACTTGATTCAAGATCAGTTAACTGGTCAGATTTACCCTCTTGAGTTGAAGCAAATGAGGGATGATTTCATTCGGAAACTGGTTCTTTCTTGTCCTCCTTCAAATGGGTTGCCATCATTTGCCTTTGGTATTACCACTTCTTTTTTGTGTAAAACAACTGAATTGGTTTTCTGTAACATCTCTGAAGATCACTGGGTTTGGGTTCCGGTTTCTAATTTTACAGCTGAGGATGTGATTTACAGTGAATCTCAAGGTTTGTTTTATGCTGTTAATCATGTAGGGGATGTTGGGAGTTTCCGAGTTGGTGTTGAAGGGGTTTGTGACATAACCATTTGGCAATCTGTGAGTCTGATACCATGTGATCTGCGGTATTTGGTATTGTTTAATGGGGAGTTAATGATGTTGACACGATGTTTGGAAACAGAAGTTGACATCAGGACATACTGTGAACTATACCGGACAGCAGGGTTTGAGGTGTATCGGTTTAGTGAGTATGAACCTGGGCGTGTGTGTTGGGAACCCGTGAAGAGTTTGGGAGATGGGATGGTGTTTGTAGGTGAGAGTGCATCCTTGGCATTGTCAGCGTCAGATTTTCCTGGCTGTAAGGCAAATTGTGTTTACTTCACAGATGATCATTGTAATAGTAATGATGTTGGGGTGTTTGATTTGGAGGAGAAATGCATTTGTTCATTGCCCTGTTTTCCAGATAATGCAAGCTTGCCTTTATATTGGGGGTCACCCATATGGATCACTCCTAATCCACACTAGCTAAGCTTAAGCTACTGGCCAGCAGTACTCATGTTAGTGTGTCATATGCACGCAAACTGAAGGCTAAAATCAATGTATGCTGGTGGTTCAGTGAATGTAATCTCTTGTTATAGGTCATTGAATTAGAGGAGCATTGGCCGAGTATATCAGTTATCAGATCTATACATTATTCACAATAAACTATGCAATATTTTTTTATTTTTTGTTATATTTTGTGTGTGTGTGTGTGTTGGGGGGGAGGGGGGGGGAGGGGGGTGGTGTTGGCAAGGAATTTATGGAATATTTACCATTTACTAAGATGATGCTAGTTGGCTGAGTAAACTAGTTCCAGATTTGTACAATGTCGCTACATCATAATTCACTTAGTTTCAGGTAGATCTCTACTATAAAGTGCTTAAAACCAAACTAAGAGCCAGAGAGGCAAATACAAGACAAAATCTAGCCAAGCAATACACAAACATCAAGTTCTCAGCAACTAAATGCATTCTATCTTCAGACTGATGAGTTTAATTCAGGATTAAGACAACTCAGATAATAGTGAAGAAATCTCAGAAACAAAAAACTCCAGGGATTTTTCTCCATGATTGTACTAGTCTCAAAAGGGAACCAGTGAACTACTACGATCCTACCCATATACGGAGGGCAAGCTAGTATCACAGTATTGGAGACTATCAAAATGTGAATTGCTCCAATACAGATAGAATTATATTGAAAAATGGATACAGCAAGGGCACAATATACCCATGTTTAGTTGCAGCTGGAAACAAAGACAGGTAGCTATATTGTTCCAAGTGGCTTCACTTTGCACTTATGAAATCAAGCTGGCATGTGTGGTGCCACCTCCAACTTTCCAAAGATGATGAAATGCAAAAAAGGTTTGCTCAACTAGTTCTTAGCCCTAACTGAATTGTTTTCCTTAATTCTTGCTCGGTTGTCCAGCTTAACATAGCGTTTAAGATCTTCAATAGGCAGATCTTCAGCTTCTTTCCGTTGCAGCTCACTCAAAGCTGCTCGCTTGTCAAGAAGGTGCCAAAGCCAATCTGGGTACTCAGAGTCTGGTCGTATCTTAGGATCTGTGCCCTCCTTCAGTATGTTAGCTCCCACTACAGTGGTAGCCTTAATTTCTTTGCTGAGAGATGATACCTTAGGAGCATCAGAAGCTCCACCTCCTTTAGACCCCTTTTTTGCTTTCCCAGCAGCATATGTCCTTGAACCAATCATCCGCATTGGTTCCATTGAATTCATAGCAATTTTCAATGACCTTACATGATTCAATGCCATTTCTTCTTCCTGTCACAGAAATATACTGCAATATGAACAGCTGTTTCATCAAACATAAAACTTTAAAAAGTAAGGAGTATGAAAACAAGAGACAGAATGATTTTGTTTCACACTGTAGCTTATATTCATGCAGCTCTCCTTCAGTATTCTATGATTAAATTCATACTTGATAACTCAGGGAAAAATTCCAAGCTACTCTATCAGAAGTTTTGCACAATTGCCTGGACAACTTAACACATTTGACAGGACTGATGAATCAGGTGCCTTTGGTATCTGGCATTACAAACACTTCATTTAAGGTTCAAGATTATGTAAATCCGTTGTCCATAAACTACCTTAACCTTTTTATTTACACTTCACTGCCTTTTGACTGCTTACATTCCCCTTTCTAAATCCTTGACCCCCTCCGCAACTACCAGCAATCCATCAATCATCTCACCACAATTCAACACAGTCCCCCCCCCCCCCCCCTCTCCCTCTTTCTTCTCTCCTCTTCCATCTCTCGCTCTGAAACAACAAAAATAGCATGCAATTGTTTTAACTGCAACAATTCTAAATACACCAACCTGCCATGGCCAGTCAGCCATAGCTGTTGGGTTTTGCAAGGCACCACTTTTGCTACTTCACCATTACAGATGTACCTTTACTCTCATCCACACATTGATATCTTTAGTAAAATTAGTAAATATATTCCGTCTACTTACAAGGGTGGCTGAGAACCCACTAGCTCGCACTTGGAAAAAGTACACGGTTTGGGTTTTGGGGTTTCTGCCTTACTACATCAACTTTAGAGATTGTATGACCAACATCAGTCCAAGAAGAAAAAAAAAAGGTTCAACTACGAGCTAAAAGATCCAAAGCCCTCTTTCTAATAAGCAATGTAGCACCAAGACAGATACAGGGACCGAAAACAGCAAAATCAAAATCACAAAATGGGTAAGGCACAGATTAGGCAAAACAATGTTTGCCAAAAAAATCTGAAATTACAATTCAACAATCAAATTGCTTCCCAAATCTGGATTGACAAAAAACCCCACATACTCCATGAAATCATATGGAACTCCGCCAACAACTTATCAGGCCCGTCCCTTAGCCAGGGCAGGAGGGGCAGCCGCCCTCGCTTAGGAAGAAAATGTCCATATTCATGATTCCATCCTAATATTTAAGGGTTCTGCAGTACATTAGTAATCAAATTTGATTCAATCATCAAATTAGGCTCGAAAATCACACAAAAAATTTCTGGCTTAAGACTATCAACGTAAATTGCAAATACGAATTAGTACAATTGCAGCAGCAAAACCTCTAGTTATAATGTTTCATAACTTCAGTAATTCTAAACGATAGTTCAATTAATCTACATTAGAAGAACCCTACTGAAAAAAACTAAATAACGATACTATGAAACTAAACCCTAGAATATAAAGCTGATATTCAATGATTAAAACAATTAATAAATCTCACCTAAGAAGATGTTTCAATGGAGGATAGAAAGCTGCAAAGCCTCTTCAATGAAGAACTCAGAGTACGCTTCAAGGGAGGAGAGAGATAAAACAGCGTAGAAGTGAAAAGCTCGAAAGCGAAGAAAAAAAAAATGAGGGAGGAAAATTAATGACCCATGATGTCCAAGGTTCGGACACTCACAGAGGTGGGCTGGACCTTAGGCACGGAATGAAAATTAGAGATGGCGTATCGTGTCGTATTTGTGACCTTCATGTTCGTGTTCGAAATTAAACGAGTCGTGGAGTCTCAATACTAACCCGATTTAATTAATAAACGTGTGGTGTCGTGTTAACTCATTTAATTAAATGTGTTAAAAATCCTTGACACTAACTCGTTTTTTCTGTATTCGGTTCGTGTCGTCTAACTATATTATATGAAAAAATATTAACCTCATTCAATATATTTATCAATTATTCCATGAAAAGTATTAGTCTCATTCAATATACTACATATATAAAAGAATTGTATACAAACATTGTGTTGCAGGTAGGTGTGAGCAAAAATTCTGGGCACTAAGAATTGAAACTAAAACTAGTTAGGAAGAACATAGTTATAGCATCATAATTAGATCCGATAGTTCCAATTTCGCATCATTATTCTAATTAACACACGCATCGTGTGCATATTGGATTATTTACTGTTCATGAAGATTAGGCATACCTGTCCACATGGTTTCATATTAATACATGAAGATTAGGCAAACTGTTCTTATTTCTTCTCATTCAATATGTTCATATAAAAATGAATTGGGCAGTGGGTCTCTGTTTTTACTTTTTAGGTAGCTGAAAAAACGTTTTTTTATAAATATTGGTATTATTAGTCTATACTTTTATGTGGATTATGTGATGAGGTAAGTAATGATATGGTAATTTTCTTTACTATAAAATGAAAAAAGTAAAAGTAAAATGATTATAAAAAAAAAGTACATATTAAAACGAAAAGTAGGAAGATAAAAACACGGAGGAGGTACTTCATAATTTCATATGTCATTAGAAAAATATCTTATTTAGGAGATAGGACTATAGGAGCACTCTTTTGTTTCAAATTAATGGTTACACTTCACCTTTTCAATCAACTATGCCAATGTATCTAACTTTAAATATTATCATCTCTAAGACGTCCTATGTACTTCCTCCATTTTTTTTAGTTTGACACTATTTGACTTTTGCACTATTTATAAACTACCCTTTGACTAGCTTTTGCGATTTATAGCTACGTTAAGATATAGTTATGTGAGATCTTGTCTGAATCGTCTCATTGTACATTTTATTAATTAAAATCCACTTTTTTAATTTTACATTATCAATAATTTGAGATATTAATCGTGAAAATAGTGCGTTGCCAAGCGTGATAATAGAAATGTGTCAACTTAAAAAACGGAGGTAGCATATAATAAATTTATAAGTACAGTAGTACGAGTTAATATTTTGAAAATAAAGTGCACACGTTTGAGATGTTTCCAACAAGATCTTTTGTAACAATATTTTACCTTACCTTTAAAATTTTAAACACAAATTTTTATATGTATCTGGTCACACCATATGGCCGGTAATACTCGAGTTACTCAGTCAGGTGTTACTCGGTCATGAGTTACTTGAGGGGTTCGGTCATGGGTTAATCGGTCAAGGGTTATTTGGGGGGTTACTCAGTCAAGAGTTACTTGAGGGGTTCGGTCAGGGGTTACTCGATCAGGAGTAACTTACTCGAGTAACCCCTACACGAGTAACTTACTTGAGTAACCAGGCCACACGGTGTGGCCGCCAATTTTAAATCACATATGATGGCCAAACTAGAGTTTATGAATAATGTTGTCCAAATTGAAAGTATAACCATATTTCGATAGAGAGGGAGCACACTTAACTTAATTTTACAAAACAGGACTACACATAACAAACCATGCATGCTTTCCCTCCATTTATGATGTACTAGTTTTTATGGCAACTCTTTTAGAGTTTGAAGTTCTTAAGCACTCCGGTACTAGAGATATGCTATACCAAATTATACGATTAATATCATTCAAATTAAACTTGAACTGTACTTGAATGACTTGATTTTAAACGTAATCAAAATTAATACTCCGTAATTAACATGATTCAGACCACACATTTATGTGATTACGATTGATTTATCATAGTTGCTGATAGATAGTTGAGTATAATAACACGCGACTTGAATCAAACCCGATCTAAGGAGTGTTTGCCACATCCAAGTCTGAAATCAGAACATAACAACCTGTTGGTACAAAAACGCTCAAATATAAGCATTACCTTTACACTAACAAACCATTTTCTCCCCTTAAAAACAGAAAAAAGAAAGATACACAAACAAACACAAATCCTATTTCGTTCTGTAAGTAATGAGTAAACTTAGAGCATGTGATGTAATTATACTACTCTTAAGTTTGGACTTATCAGTGGGACTCTTTCTCTTTGAGTTTGCTCTCGATAAAATTCCATCTATAAATATCTCAAGGATCTTCTTTTGGATTCACCAAATCATTTGTGTAACACGTACAAATTAAACTAGCTAGCACGGTAAAAACATTGTTGCAACTTTAGTTGCCCTACACAAAAGAAATTTCGTCAAATCAATTATCTACAACCGATCAGTTTATGATGGCTAGCTCAACCGTGCTGACTAAAAAGGCGGTATGCCTAATCTTCATAACCATGATGGTGGTTGCACCTCATGCCGTGCAAGCCTTTTCATGTGGACAGGTGGTAACAATGCTCATGCCATGCCTCAATTACTTGAAAAAAGGAGGATCCATCCCGGCTAATTGCTGTGGAGGGGTTAAGGACTTGGCTAACTTGGCTAAGACTAGGCCTGACCGCCAGGCAGCTTGTAAGTGCATCAAACCCGCCGCTAAGTCCTATGGCATCAACTATGACCTTGCTAACAAGCTCCCTAAGGCGTGTGGTGTCAACTACAAGATCAACATCAGCCCTGATATTGATTGCAATAAGTATGTATTACTATACTACTCTTAGCTTGTCTAGATAATAAAATTCACTCAATATATTACTTGGATTATTTTGAGTTTATGGTCAAAAAACTTAAACAAACATAATTTTATACAGTATGATAGTGTATATAACATATTATGGGCATCAACCGTTAGGTTAAACTTTTATGGTTGGTATGGTCCTGTAACAATAATATTTAGTCTTTAATAATTATCTAATTGATATTTTAATTTGTAAAATACATAGTAATTGTGTTAATGATTTGCAGGGTGACGTTCTGAAGCAGAAGCTGACTAGCATGCAAGACCTAGTAAGATCATTTCGTGGAATAAAGAGTCAAGCTTTAACATATGGAATATCTAGAATAAAAATGAATCTTTCTTAATATTAATGTATATTTTATCTTTGAAATTACTGGAAAATCATGAAGAGAACCAGGGAGTATCATTTATTATTTGGAAGCCTATATTTTTCCAATGTAATACATAAATAAACTTTATGATATATGTTGTTGCATACGATCCTATGTGCTAGAATAACTAGTCTATGCTATTGTATATGTACAAGGTATAAATATGCTAGAATTGTTGAGAAGACACAATTAAGACACAAATTAAACGGTTGAATGAATTCGGTACAAGAGATGCGCAGAGTCTATCTTTTCTAGTCTATGGGTTACTATAAACACAAAATATTGGGTGAGGCCGCCCTCATAACCAACAACTTTCTTTCACTACTCCATTCCAATTCCCATAATCTGCAATGTCCACGACCTCCCTAACACACTCCTCACCAATATCGTCGTCCTCCTCACCGACGTAAGCACTCGCAACTCAACATCACTCGTCACTGAGTCACTCGTAAGGTTTTTGAAATCAAAATAATTTGGCGAGCTTGGTATTGCACGTAAGTTGTTTGATAAATTGCCTCAGAGAAATGTTGTATTTTCTAGGTATGATATATTAGTAGCACTTTCAAAACGGTTTGACAGTTCGGTTTCGGTTCGGTTTGAAATCGGTTCGGTTTGAAATCAGGTCGGTTTGAAATCGGTTTAAATGTCTTACGGGTCGGTTTCAGTTCGGTTTAAATAATTTTCGGTTCGATTCGGTTTCGGTTTATTCTTGAACGGTTTAAATTCGGTTCGGGTTGTAATCGGTCCGGGTAGTAAACAGTTCGGTGCAGACGGGTTGCGGTTTGTTAACGGTTCGGTGTAAACGGTTTTTATCCCGGTTTAAATTCGGTTCGGGTTGTAAACGGTTTGGGTTGTAAACAGTCCAGGTAGTAAACGGTTCGGTGCAGACGGGTTGCGGTTTGTTAACGGTTCGGTGTAAACGGTTTTTATCCCTGTTTAAATTCGGTTCGGGTTGTAAACAGTCCGGGTTGTAAACAGTCCAGGTAGTTAACGGTTCGGTGCAGACGGGTTGCAGTTTGTTAACAGTTCGGTGTAAACGGTTTTTATCCCGGTTTAAACAGTTTTGGGTTAGAAACGGTTCGGTTCTTTTTTGGTTCGGTTTAATTTTAGTTCGGTTTATAACTGGTTCGATTTGTTAAAGGGTTCGATTCTTCTACGATTTAACATTATTTGGATCGGTTTTATTTCAGGTTTACTAAATTACGGTTCGGGTCTGTTTCTGATTACAAAAAATCGATTTTTTATCGAGTCATTTGGATTCAGCCAATCAAATAATTTTGGTTTGAAATTTTATACTACTTTCTAACTTTTTGCTAGTTAACAAGTTTTATATCAAGCCGAGGCTTCATCACTTCATATTGAGGCATCATTTTATATGCAAATTCTCATTAATTTTATAAATACATATGATTTTATGTTTCAAGTTTAGCCATACTGATCTTACTAGTTTATTACGAAGTAGATTATAAAAGTTTAGTGCATTAATGTATTATTGTTTTACTATCAGATTATTATCTGCTTCTTATTTGATCATTTAGTTAATAGAGTCATAATCATGATTTGATGAGTTGTTGTGACATTGAAATTTGCAATTTCGTATTTGATACTTAATTAGTCAACAAGACTGATAATTAAGACTCGTTTATCATTATATATTTGCATAAACTGATAGCAGAAAGTAGAAGTTAATGGCCCGTTTCACTTTTATCTCGACCCTGACTCGACCCTGACCCGCTAATTATTCATCTTGACCCGCGACCGACCGCTAATGACCTGCATCGACCCGCCCAATAACCACTGCTAGTAGTAAGTGGTTTGTAAACGGTTCGATTTATAAGCGATTCAGTTCATAATTAGTTCGGTTTATAAGCGGTTCGGTTTATAATCAGTTCGGTTTTTAAACGGTTCGGTTTATAAACAGTTCAGTTTATAAACGGTTTGGTTCATAAACAGTTCGGTTCATAAACGGTTCGGTTTATAAACGGTTCGGTGTAAACGGTTTTTATGCCAGTTCAAACGGTTTCGGGTTAGAAACGGTTCGGTTCATTTTCGATTCGGTTTCCTTCAGTTCGGTTTAGATTTGGTTCGGTTCTTAAACGGTTTAACGTTACTCGGATCGGTTCGGTTTCGGGTTTACTAAAATGCGGTTCGGGTTGGTTTTCGGTTTCAAAAAAGCGGTTTTTAATCGGTTCGGTTCTCAGTCGAATCGGTTTGAATCGGTTCGGTTTCCCCGGTTCGGTTCGGTTTTTGACAGTACTATATATTAGAGATAATATCAACAAGATACTATGATATTATTTTTGATGTACATCTTTAATATCTTTAATTCCATGGTGTATCATCATATCAAGAATTTCGACAAAATAACTGAATTAGTATCAATCTTAATTCTTAAACCCATTAATCTTGGTTTTTGGTGTGTATGACCTACAGTGAGTTCAATTGTCAATCTTTAGATAATGGAGAATATGAACCGAATTTTTGATGGTGGCTTATTAGTTGACCACTTTTACAGCTTTAAATACTACTTCGTATAAGAGTGAATGAAAAGTCTGAGCTTAGCATTACAATTTCAATTTATATTATTTCATAGATTCTTTATATTAGTTTGATGATATGTGTAAATGTTGGGATAAAATCACATACTATTTGGAGGATATCATTCATTATTTGGATGATATGATTAATTGTTTGGATGATAGCTTTAATGGTAAGAGGATAGGATTAAATGGATAGATGATATGATTAGTTGTTTGAAGGATATGATTAATTAGTTGTTTGAAGGATATGATCAATTGTTTTGTGATATCTTTAAGTGTATAGGATGGATGATATGATTAATTGGTTAGATGATAAGATTAATTGGTTGGATGATATAAGTATCTATTTAGATGATGTTTTTAATTGTCTAGGACTCTAGGTTAGATGATATGAATAATTAGTTTGGATGATATCAATTACTATTTAAATAATATCATTATAATTGATTTATCATTTATGAAGGTTGAACTTTCCTAATTTTGGGCTTGCCTCACGAAGCTACTGGTGAGGCAAGTCTCACCCAATAGCTTCTTTATTATAAATACTCCTAAGTTATTTCCTAGCCGCAACAATCATTAGTTGAGTAATTATTTAGAAATATGAGAGTCTTGTGTTTATTTCTCATTTGTGAGTTTTGAGAATGATAACATTGTAAATCCGAAAGACAATCAATTTGTTTTCAAGATTAGTCTTAAAGTTGTTATGTGTATTCCACAAGATCAATAAAAGTATTACTCTTGCCTGTCCGTGGACGTAGCCAACGCATTGTTGGTGAATCACGTACATTTGTGTCTGCTTTTCTTGTTATTTTACATTCGATCTTTGTTCTTTCTTACATCCGTTATAACATAACTAATATTTGGACTTGGGCAATCCCCGGGTCATCATATGGGACTAGCCATTAACATTTATAACTTGTGACTCAATATTCTAGTAGTTTAATTTATTATTCACTAGTACAAATTAATATTTTGCTTTCAAAAGAAAACATAATGTATGATTTGACTTGGAGTAAAACATTTAAGGTTACATGTTAAAATATTTTACATAAAACTCTTTAGTAAGTTGAAGACATAAAATGGAAAACAAATGGAAGAGAGTGACACATGACACGTAGACTTCTTTTAATTGTTTTTTAATATATAGCATAGATAAAAATTATCCAATGACTTGTATGTGCACTGTTTAGTGTCACGGGCCGGCTCGACCCAAGGATATCTTCAGATACCATCGGATTGCAGTCGGATTAATAGTTTTTGACAACTCTGCTGTTAAGGAGGAAGAAGTGCCAAAGTTTTGTAATTGTAAACCGTTGACACCAACTATATGCCATTTATATTTATGAATCCTTATTTCCTTAAAACATATTTGGGGTCAGAAAATTTCCTCATTGTCTTAATTCACTATCTTATCTGGAAACCAAGTAACCACCTTGTTTATTTACACTACTTCGTACACTCATAAGTCCAACTATTACCAAATTTTTTTTAAAAAAAATCAATAATTATTTTCTGGCACCTTTTCCGGTGAAAACCAATGTTACAAGCGTCGGAAAAAGAGAATTACAACTACCCTTCTCCACTTGCTACCCATGAAGAAGTTATCAGCCAACCTCAGCTCTTCTTAGATACACTCGAAAGTCTCCATTCTATGTTGGGCACCAAATTCACGTACGCCATCTAATATTTATATTCTCGAGTGTAGAATCTAATTTATGTAACTCTAAAGTTTCATTTTACTTGATTAAAAATTGATTTACCAAGGAAATTATAAGGTTATAATAATTTTTTTTTTTGTGTTATCCACCAAAAGGGTACCAGTAATTGGAAGAAGGGAGCTAGATTTGCATGTGTTATATGTTGAAGTTACAAAGAGAGGTGGCTATGATAAGGTTGATAATACATGTTTACCCCCACTTTTTTTTCTTTTACTTTTATTTTTTTTACTATTTAAAATTTAATGTTCTACAGAATTTTGTGTAATTATAGGTTGTTTCAGAGAAGAAATGGAGGGAAATAAGTTCAGTTTTCAAGTTTTCTGCCACTGCCACAAGTGCTTCATCTGTGCTAAAAAAGCATTACCTTGGCCTTCTCTACCAGTATGAGCAACTTTACTTCTTTAATGTACAAAGCCCTGAATTCTCAACTCCTCCACCAGGTACTGCGCCTATTTGTTTTAACTTAGCTTTGTATACACCTTGAACTGTTTACTCTTATTGTTCGGAATTAAAAATTGCATATATTGTTCACTGAAATCCTCAAAAGTTGCTTCCTTAAACAACAATAGATTATGATAAACATTGTTCCAATGAGAAGTATGTCACAACTTTTAAGTTATAAGGAATTCGAGTGACTCATCCGTCACAAAATAGTCTTCTTATAAAATCATGTCATATCCTTATTAATTAAAGGTTAAAATAATCTGACCAATTTGTAAGGACAAAGGGAGCAATTATGAATTAGCTTGTAAATTGGAATCCTACCTCTGCAAGTCCATGCCCATTTGGTCCTAATGCTAGTGAATAGTGATGATTATGAGAAAATTACACCTAAAAGAGTTCAAAGTTCACTTGATAGTGATATTTATTGTCACTCTTTCCCTAGTACATGCTGTGAAATTAACTTTGTACAACTAAACCGAGTTTAGGTAAGGGTCAATAAGCTTTGATAAGGTTAATAAGTACAGACAATGAAAATCAAGGTAAAAAGAATAAAGTATAGATTTACAAAATACTGTCATTAGTACGACCCCACTTATGAGATTATGGCTTTGATTGATTGATTGTCATTAGTAGTAAAAGTTCTTCTGTTTTCCAGATTCTAGTTCCTTGAGCTTTCCAGCAGTAGGAACAATTCATGGGAAATTCGACTGCGGGTATTTAGTCTCTGTCAAACTAGGACAGGAACTGCTGAGTGCAGTGATTTACCATCCTGTAGATAAGCAATGCGCTTCCTCCTCTCCAGCTGATGATCTTAGCATGGCAATCGTCCCTTACGGTCCCAATAAGCAACCTCGCCAGCTATCAGGAAAGAGAAGGCGTAAGAGGAAGCGATGGGGTGGAGATCCCAGCCACCCAAAACCCAACAGAAGTGGCTACAATTTCTTCTTTTCAGAGAAGCATTCAGTTCTCAAATCCCTTTATCCTAATAGTCGAGAGAGGGAGTTTACTAAAATGATCGGAGAATTATGGAATAATCTCAACTCTGAAGAGAGAAAGGTGAGTCGATTTTTGAAGCATATGGCCTTATCATATGGCTCTTAATATAGAAGATTATGATTGATTCACGAAATTTGCTTTGATTATTTGTTTAAGTGCAGGTGTATCAGAATATAGGGGAAAGGGATAAGGAAAGATATAAGAGAGAACTCCGGGAATACAACGCGAAGTTAGCAGCAATGAAAGGCAACACGAACAAGTCATAATTTACTGACTGACTGGAAGAAATTGCTATATTACTTGCAGAACAACAATACTTCTTAGTGCTAGACACACAGTGTTTCAAATCTTAATGCTTAAAAACAGAGTATATAAACTGGCTGATAATGCAAATTACCTTTCATGTCATTGCAGAATAACTAAGTAGACCGAAAAAGGTTAGGAGTATATATTTACCTCCCAACTAGTTTAGTTGAATAAAATTTTGAGCTGATGTCCTCATGTCCGATACCCAGAAGTAATCATATTTCAATTACTGCCTTGGCTGCTATTTGAAGCCAATATCTGTGTGATAGGGTAAGCAAGTCAAGCAACCCGAAACACTATTGTAACCAACTTGAAAGATTATGTTGATCTTCATGCTAGGTGACCAACTAGAAAAATTATGTTGATTTTACATCAACATATTATTCATCACATCATCAAGCAGATGTATTTTGACAAGTCTATTGATATTAAGCTGTTTAGTAGAGGTTATACATTGCGAGCTGTTATGTTAAGGCACAAGGACACAAGCCACGCATTATAGCTTTATCCACACGATGGCCAGCTTGAGAATGATGAATAAAAAAATGAGACAAGATGACTTCCAATTTTCAATATATCAGCGGTGCCGTTCCATTTCATTTTGTCAGACTAAACCCTAGGATGATAAGACTAAATTGGAGCTTACAGATACCGTGATGCTAGTACCATAAACATGAAAACATGAGAAAGCTACTGCAGTTAGCCTGCTAGGCTCCAAAAATGGAGGGGGGGTAGAGGCAGGGCTTGCCAGAAAGGCAAGGCTATGATAATTCAGCCATGAGGCAGGCGGGGTTCTCGTGAGCTACTGATTTAAGGAAAAATTTTAACCATCATTTATATATGCACTTGTTTAGTACTCCGGTAGTTTCAGTTGGACTTCATTTAGTAGCGAGTTTTCCTATCAAAGATGGCATAAATTAGAAGCCAGTTCATGCTTTTAGGAATTTTATCCACAAGGCTAGCAATATGAAGTTCCCAACGACTTGATATGAACAAGTATTCCTCTTAAAAATTATACCCAGGGGCCAGGAAACCAAAGAGTTCATTTAGTTTATCATTCAAAGGTCAAACAATATCAAAATTTTCACTTCACTAACTAAACTTAAGGAATCCACCTCCATAAAATTTACCACAATCATTCAGCTGCTTGCTGAAAATGGAGCAGTCCAGTTTCAGACTTCCTCAGAGGCATCAATATGCGATCCATCTGCACTTGTTGCAACAGGAAACTTTTCCGTTGCTAACCTTTCTTCCAGTGCTCGAGCACCTCTTTCCCTGATATATTAATACAAATGGAGGTTAAGCACAATGGTGACTATGACAGTATATCCAGTGGAAAAAAAAAAAAAAAAAAAAAAAAAAGCCAAACCAAAACAGCAAGGAAAAAAAAAAAGGTATACTGCACTGCTGCACAGAAATGCTTCAGAAAGGAAAAAAGTGTTGATTTTGGATCCAAGGAGATCAAAATCGGACAACACAGATACCTTCTAGTTAAAGTGTGCAGCTAAGAAACATCTCAAAGTGCCCTTCTCAGCAAACCGCTGATAAAAAAGTTGTAGAATCACATATCCATGTATGGCATAATTTAAGGTTTTCTATTCGACATATCAACCCCATGGACTAAGAATCTAAGATTGAAGCCGCTTATTTTGGGCTTTGAGCAAAAGCAGCTCATACAGTCACACTCACAGGTAGTATCATCATTGATTTGAGAAGTACAGAATTAATCAAATGAATTTCAGTTTTGCATCTTTGATCAGACTAAAGGTTGAGCTATTCTTCTTTCAAATTTAGCCAAGTAACCATCTTGACTTCAATCCGTCTTTATCTTCTTTTAACCCTCTTCTTCAATATCAACTATGTTGCTCCAACTCTTGATTTCACCTCAAGTACCCGCGTCACGCACTCGGACATGAGTACAACACTTAGACAGTTGACCACTTTATTTTAGTTCAAAATAAATTTTTCACAAAAAAGCCAAGTCGGACACTTGGACACGTATCCGTGTCGAACATGGGTACCCGAGTCCAAGTACCATAGATCATTAATTTCGGAAGTCTAGAATTACATCTCCCACAATTACTTGATCCTGTTTTAATGTCATAATACAAGTATCATTTTAAAATGTAAAGACACACAAGTAATGATGCTTCTCCCTTTGTCTCTCAAAGTTTCTTACACCCTATTTAATATGGACATACAAAATTACACTTTGTATCACTTTTGGTTTTTGGGTTTAAAAAACCAATTTGACTCCCAAATATATTATTGTGAGCACACAAAAACAAGGAATTTCAGATTGTTACATTCTACTATTTAAAAATGATCAATCCATGGCGAGGAAGAAGGGGAAGCAGAATTCGATGAAGGAGGAGATGACAGCAGAAATTAGCAAGCAAGGAGAGGATTCGATGAGTCAATTAGCGGTTGGACAGAAAACAAAATTGCGAGGAAATGTGGGTCAAATTCCGCCATTGGAGTTCGATGTTGAAGATGAAATGGAGCGTTGTATCTTGTCTCCTGAGAAGTCTTTGGAGGAAATGATAACTAATTCTAGGGACAAATCGAAGTTATCGGAATGGATGACAGCATTGAAGGTTAGTGAGAATGGGTTTCTGGGTTCGAAAAACAGAGATTCTGCTCTGAATGCTCAGGTACCTGTTTCTTCTCATCATATTGATTCTGTTATCAATGTTAGGTCTGAATGTGTTGATAAACCTGTTTTGCATTTGACTATGGATGATATTGAGGCTGAATTGGATTATAGGAATTGGGGGGTAGTTGCTTTTACTATTGCAGCTAATCCTCACATCAAAACTTTTGAGGGGTTTTGTTGGAGAATTTGGGGAAAAGCTAACATCGATAAGGTGATTCCATTGAGGAGAGGAGTGTTTTTAATTCGTTTTTTAAATGTTGAATCACGAGATAAAGCTTTAGCACACCCGAATTTGTTAATGGATAAAAAACCTGTTTGTTTGAGACAATGGGAAGATGGGATGGAATTGAATGTGCATGATGTGACTAAAGTCCATATCTGGGTTCAACTTCATGATTTGTCATTGAAGTATTGGGGGAAGGCTTGTTTAGAGAAGATAATAGGATTAATTGGGAAACCGTTTAAACCTGATGCAGCTACATTGGCCAGAGATAGGGTGGCTTATGTGAGATATTTGGTAGAAATGGAATTGAAGCAGGAAATTCCCTGATAGCATTGAGTTTATGGGTGAGAAGGTTGTTTTGTTTGTACAACCTGTAACTTGGGATTGGAAGCCTAAATGGTGTGTGGCATGTGGGGGGTTGGGTCACTCAGAGGAATACTGTCATACTAAGAAATTGAAGAAGGTACGGAGACCTAAGGTGGTTCAAAAGGCTGGTAAAAAGGTTCCAGAGGTGGAGAAGCCTTCAGAGAATGTGCTCACAACTTTGGACCCAGTTTTTGTTCCTATTGATAATGAGAAGCAGGTGAGTCCTATTAGGCAGCCTGCTCAGAATGGGGGGGTGGAAGTTAGATTGCAAAATTCTTTTGCCTATCTTGCTAGTGATGAGTAAGTGTCAGAACAGGTCTTGATTGGAGTTGTTCCTGTAACTTTGGAAGTTCCAGGTTGTTCTGCTCCTGAAAAGGGGTATGGATAAAGCCATTGTTTGGAATATAAGGGGCATAAATAGCCCTAATAAGCAACATGAGATCAAGAATTATTTGTTACAGAATAATATTGGCTTATGTTGTCTGCTAGAGACTAAAGTGTCCATTGAAAATTTTCCTGCTGTGTATCAGAGAATGTTTTCTGGGTGGTGTGTGACTACAAATTTTAGTCAGGTTAAGGGAGGTAAAATCTTGGTGACTTGGCTGCAAGATTTGTTTAGTGTAGATAATGTGTTTCCCGGGCCTCAAATCATTCATACAAGGATTGTTAATAAGACTCTGCAAAAGGGTTTTGAATGCTCCTTTGTTTATGGTTCAAATTATGCTAATGTCAGAAGTGATCTTTGGGATCAGATAAGGCACATTGCTAGCACCTGCACTGGGCCTTGGATTGTCTCTGGAGATTTTAATTGTCCTCTGAATGCTGATGATAGAATAGGAAGACAGATAAGTTTTGGGGAGATGAGACCTTTTAGAGATTGTGTTGAGTGCTGTGATTTGCAGGATATGGTTCAGGTTGGTGCTAAGTTCACCTGGACTAATAAACAGCAAGGTGAAGCAAGGGTATATAGTAAGATTGAGGAGCAGGTATTATTCTGAGTGGCTTATAGATTTCCCTGGTTCTTATGTGCGCACTATAATCCTGAACTCTGGTTTGACCATTGTCCAGCTATTATTCTGTTTGAGGAGCAGGTAAGGTCTGGGCCAAAACCTTTCAAGTTCTTTGATATGTGGGGTAACAATCCAGCATTTGAAAAGTTGGTTAGAGGTGTTTGGAGCTTTAGAGTCCATGGGAAGATGTTTCAGGTTGTGAAAAAGCTGAAACAAATGAAAGCTGCTCTTAAGGGGTTGAATAAAAGGGAATTTCTGAGGTGGGAGCTAGATTTCTATCTGTGAAAGATGAGTTGGTTGCTATTCAGAAGCAGATTATGAGCAATTACAATGATCATAGTTTGCAGGAGAAGGAAACTGAGGTGCTAGCCAGATTTCATACACTAAGAAAAGATTACTTTTCTTTCTTACAGCAGAAAAGTAAGATTTCTTGGTTAAAAATGGGTGATGACAATACAAGTTTTTTCATAGAAGCCTTAAAGTTAATGCTTACAAAAAGAGAGTGGTGGCTATTTCTGATATGAATGGGAAGTGGTGTCATACTAGAGATGATGTTGGTAAAGCCTTTGTGGAGTATTGTCAATGGTTATTGGGGACTGAGCATTCTTGTACTGTTAAGGTGGATCCTAGCATTATTTTACTTGGAAAGCAGGTGTCTCAGGAGCAAGCAAATGGTCTGAATGCACCTTTCACTAAAGATGAGATAAGAAAGGCCATGTTTG